AGGAACAGCTTGCATTAGAGACACATCAAGAAGAAAGGTTTAACTTCCTTGCAATCTTACAAAATTACAATTGAACAAATAGCGTATGGCAAGGATAAAATGAAATATGATGGTTACTACTTAGTTAAATTCTGTTAAAGAGTCCTAATGCATATATCAGAAAAGAGAAAAAAATGTGCTTTCGAAAGAAAGTAAGGTTACAAATATTGGAAATTAGGTCAGAATTATAGAATAAATATCACAATGAAAGTACTTACCCCAAGAGAATTTGTAGACCATAAAATAAGTATTATAATAATTTTTGCCTTCTTTTATAAATCTTAAAAAAAGCAAAACATAATCCCACCACGTTAGAAAAGTTGTTTTGGCAAAAAGTGGGAGACTAAATGAAGTTAGGTCTAACTGGTAAGCTGGTTTTGTATGTTTTCAATAAAATTGATAGTGTGTAAAATAGTTTAATAATTAAGCTAAGTATACTTTCGACATAATAAATGTCATCATCAGAGCTATCCTAAAATAACGTTAAGTTAAGTAAATTTTTTATATAAAATACAATGATAGAAAAAACTTACGTCAATTAGGCAATAAATACTTCATAGAAGGACAATTGTGCACAAACGACATATTAAAATTCAAAGATCGGGCTCTGTAGGCCACAGATCTTGGGTCTAACCCTTATACATATGTATAATTCACATTTAAAAAGTTTTTATAAAAACATGGTTACCACATACAGTAACGACAACAGCTGTCTTTGACTTACATTTTTGAAGTAAAATGAAAATGAAATAGGAAGCTCGGATATACGGAAATAAATCCTAGAGCGACCTCTGTATTTAAATTATTAATTAAAAATTGAAAATGTCTAAAATGACGTCTGAAGGTTATTGATTATTAATTTTAGCTACTGTAGAATTTTAAATTTAAATATTTTAAATTGATTAGTTAACGTGAAGATTTAAATATACATTTATCAAAATTATCAAAAAACAAAACTTTAAAGTTTGACCAAATAGAAGAAAGTAGATGAAAACCAACCAAGGAGAAGTATCATTTGCTAAGTTAAGAGTTCAACAGCTATTATTGATTATCGATATTATTAATAAAATAAATAATGAAGAAGAAAATATCAAACATTCTCTATGTAGATGAAATCAATGAAAGAAAGTATAAGAAATTCTCTCTTTTAAATCTCTTTTTTAAAAATAAGGGTCAAAGCTTGATCAAATGATGGTTAATTTTTATACTAAGTGTATTATTAAAGAAACTTCTTAAAGATTGGATCAAACTTACAATTTAAGTTAATTTGAGTGTTGACACAATTCTGAGGATTCCTTTTCATTTCTCTACTGATTTCAAGATCTTCTAGTAAATTCATTTTTATATAATTATTATTGGGTATACTGTGTAGGATCTTACTATCTCTATGAGGACTAAAGCCATGCTTTGAAGCATGTATATGATTCCCAAAACTAGATTTATCAATCTTAGACAGATGTTCTTTGATGCGTATATGCCAGGTGACCTATGTGGGTAGAACAATGCGACCTTTGGATATACGCATCAAAGAACATCTGTCTAAGATTGATAAATCTAGTTTTGGGAATCATATACATGCTTCAAAGCATGGCTTTAGTCCTCATAGAGATAGTAAGATCCTACACAGTATACCCAATAATAATTATATAAAAATGAATTTACTAGAAGATCTTGAAATCAGTAGAGAAATGAAAAGGAATCCTCAGAATTGTGTCAACACTCAAATTAACTTAAATTGTAAGTTTGATCCAATCTTTAAGAAGTTTCTTTAATAATACACTTAGTATAAAATTAACCATCATTTGATCAAGCTTTGACCCTTATTTTTAAAAAAGAGATTTAAAAGAGAGAATTTCTTATACTTTCTTTCATTGATTTCATCTACATAGAGAATGTTTGATATTTTCTTCTTCATTATTTATTTTATTAATAATATCGATAATCAATAATAGCTGTTGAACTCTTAACTTAGCAAATGATACTTCTCCTTGGTTGGTTTTCATCTACTTTCTTCTATTTGGTCAAACTTTAAAGTTTTGTTTTTTGATAATTTTGATAAATGTATATTTAAATCTTCACGTTAACTAATCAATTTAAAATATTTAAATTTAAAATTCTACAGTAGCTAAAATTAATAATCAATAACCTTCAGACGTCATTTTAGACATTTTCAATTTTTAATTAATAATTTAAATACAGAGGTCGCTCTAGGATTTATTTCCGTATATCCGAGCTTCCTATTTCATTTTCATTTTACTTCAAAAATGTAAGTCAAAGACAGCTGTTGTCGTTACTGTATGTGGTAACCATGTTTTTATAAAAACTTTTTAAATGTGAATTATACATATGTATAAGGGTTAGACCCAAGATCTGTGGCCTACAGAGCCCGATCTTTGAATTTTAATATGTCGTTTGTGCACAATTTTCCTTCTATGAAGTATTTATTGCCTAATTGACGTAAGTTTTTTCTATCATTGTATTTTATATAAAAAATTTACTTAACTTAACGTTATTTTAGGATAGCTCTGATGATGACATTTATTATGTCGAAAGTATACTTAGCTTAATTATTAAATTATTTTACACACTATCAATTTTATTGAAAACATACAAAACCAGCTTACCAGTTAGACCTATTTAGAAGTGTGTACAAGTCTTACAGTCTTTTTCAACTAAATGAAGTTAGCACAGATGTATTAGGATGTTGCTATTTTATGAAACTAGCTTGTCTGCCAACACAAAACAGAAAGAGAGAGGGCAAATATTTATTCTAAGGACAGAAAGAGAGAGAAAATAAAGCTAGAGGAAGAAAAGGAAAACAAAAGGTGACAACTACTTTTTAAATAAAGCAACATACAAAACCTATGTCTGGCCAATATTAGAATATGGGAGTGAAGCTACAATAACTGCGAGTACAAACACCACCTCAAGCTTGAAGTCGCCCAGAACACTGCCCTTCGCGTCCATCACCGGTGCTCCAAAATCAACACCGATTACATCAATGGAAGTCCAGACCGGTATTGAACCAATACAATGCGAGAGCAACACGCGTTAACCTTCTGGCAAAGGCAAAGACGAATACTTCCACAAAAATGGGACGAATATAGACAAGCAGCCTCACGTCTTAAAACACAAACCACTCCGCTTACAGTAGCAAACCAAATCATGGAAAAATACCACATTGTCCTGTCGGAAGCCGCCCCCTTCCCAGCGCAAACCACACTGGCCCGCTGTCTACCAAACACAGAATTACTGCTTGAAAACCATAACGACCCGAAGCACTTATCGTCAGACATTGCCCTAAGGAAAGCCGCCCTAGAGACGATACACACCAAGTACCCAGCACATGAGTGGCTCCACATCTACTGCGATGGATCCTCGATGCCGGACTTGGGAAGAACAGGAGCAGGATATGTCTCAACGTTCTTCAAAGGCTCTATAGCTGTGGGTGCCCCTCTCACCAACTACGACGGCGAAATTGCTGCTATACACGAAGCTGCAAAAAATCTTGAGAATTTCCAACACCCCAAAAAGTTGCCTTCTTCATCGACTGCCAAGCCGCAATCCTCGCCCTGTCGACAAATCGATACACCGACTGTGCCAAAACAATATCTTGCCGCGTCCAACTATCGAACTTGATGGAAAAAGGGTGGCTGATTACTCTACAATGGATCCATAGTCATGTCGGTGTTGAAGGAAATGAAGCGGCGGATGAACTTGCAAAAGAAGGCACTACTCTTCCACAGCCCCCTAGCTTCCAATCGTACACATCAGCAAAGTCCACCATTAGAAGAGGAATCAAAGCGAAGATAAAAGAGCAGCAAATACAAGCCGGTGCTGGAAAATCTTGAGCCCACCTAATAGAGTCACCAACCTCGCACTTGCCGAGACCATTAGTGTAGCCGTGTTCAGAACAACTACGGGGCATGACTACCTGGCCTCCCATCTACATCGCATCGGCGTCCGCGAAAATGACAACTGTCCACTATGTGATCAGCCCCAGATGGATGCTGCTCACCTTCCAGAGTGCCCAGCCCTGAAAACAGACCCACCCGAGGAGGATGAAGATCGCCTACGAGAAACGGATCGTCTATACTGGTCAGCGCGCCACCAAATGGCTAACATGCCAAGGGTGGGCGTTGGCTAGTAAGTAAGTAAGTAACTTTTTAAATAAAAATATGTCTAACATGCCAAGGGTGGGCGTTGGCTAGTAAGTAAGTAGGTAAGTAACTTTTTAAATAAAAATATTAAAAATTAAACTAATTTTTTATTAATTTATTAAAAGAAATTAATAAATTAATAAAGAAATTAAAATGAAATAATTATTTAAATATAAATTAATAGAGATGTGACGTTTATAACGTTACAACCATCTGATCAGGGGCTAGCCGGGTGGTTGCTGAAGAGAGCCAAACAGGAAAGTAGTACGATGCTACAAATAAGTCCTACAGAAGAAGAAGCCATAAAGTCAACGACAGAAAACCAGGAATCTGAGAGGAAGAAAAATCAACATCAGGCAATGCCAGAGGGCAACCAATATTATTAGGGCAATAAACATTTTTATTTTTTATTTTTATTTTTATTATTATTCTAAACATATTCAGAAATTGCTGAACCATTATAAAAATCAGAGCTCAAAGAAATAGTCCAATTAATTTATATAATGAAAATTGCACTCATTATACAAACAGTAACATTGGTCTTTAAAATAATAATGCAATCTGTATATTTATATTTTGCAAATAGTAAACAATATTTTTTCAAAACAATATTTACTTGAGCTTAAGCAAAAAGTTATATCAAACGATTGTAACTAATTGACAATAAAATTATATCGATATAAATAATATCGTTGATTATATCAATATCTTCTATATTATTTTTTTCTTATATTTATTACATCTGCGCTCGTTTTACAAGACATAATGATCATCAGTATAGCTGACCGTTAATTACAAAGATTTACATCTCCAAAGAACTTTAAGGATGGTAATTCCTCTTTCTCGTTGTGCAAGTCCTATAAATGCCATTGTACTTTTCTCAGACACTAGAGTCGTTCGTGTACAGTTCAACAATAAGATGAAACTTTTGGTGAGTCGAAAAGATTTTACGATTATACAAATGTTTTAGTTTATTTTAAAATATAACAATATTTTTTGTCACAAATTTCTTGACCATTTTATTGTTATTTAATATTAACATTTATTATGTGAAAGTTGAAATCTTGTAGAGTAAGAAAATAAATAATTAATTATTACCTATAAGACAATAAATAATTTATTTATTTTTAAAAAGTATGTGTTTACCATTCTTTAATGATCATTCTTGCGATAAAACAGTCATTATTATATAAGTCAGGAAAAGTTTGAGTAGATTTTTACAATATATTACAAGAATTTGTTTAAAATTTACTTTAAATACTATTTATTCTTCTTCTTTTTCTGCTACCGTATGCTATGCTACAAGAATTTGTTTAAAATTTACTTTAAATACTATTTATTCTTCTTCTTTTTCTGTTACCGTATACTATGTAGCGTATATGTGTTTATGCTTGTTGAAGGACGTACAGGAATTTTTCTTCGGATCCTCTTCTGGTCTGTTTTAGTGACATCACGTATGCCACACCAGTCTTATGTTTTTGAACAATGCATGTTCTTTGCTACCTAACCTCTTTAATCTTTAACTTGGGCCAATACAATGTCATCTGAGAGGTGTCACTGCATATAAAATTAAAATTATACTCAATTAACCGTTCATGTAATAATAATATGTTTGCAAATCTACATCATACATTCTTTGAATTTCCCTAAAATAAACTCTTTTGTTGTCATTATTGTAAATAAAGTTTCTTTAACCAGCCTATATTTCGACCTTTAATCTTTTTTTTATCAAAATGGTTAACGACTTATTTGTTTTAAAAGGTTCTGAAACTGTTTTCTTGTGCATATGTAAGTTAAATATTATGTTTATGTGGGGTAAAGACACAACTGATTATAATCAAAATTACATTTTTAACTGCGTTTGATGTTTCTATTTCCACTCCGGAAAATGTTTTCAAAAAATATTATTTTAAAAATTATGCGAAAAATATAACCAAAATGTTAGGTTAGTTATGGTTTTAAGACTGACGGGTGATCACTTGGCCTTGATCTTGTAGGCAATAGCCAGACTTTTAGTTGAAAAAAATCTGATGGTTTATGTTCTAAGGATATCAAATTCTGGTTATTTTGTATGTTTTTCTATTATTTGTTTGTGTAATATGCGTTGATATATTATGGGTTAGTGTATTATATTGACTTCTTTTTAGTAGTAGGCTTTGGTTGCCAATACTTTGAGTTTTGGTTATGTTTGTACACAATATTTTTTTTAGTTCTTCCAGGAATATATCTGCTAATAATAGAGATAATTGAGATCATAAAGAAATTGGACTGGAAATAGGTGTTATCAGTGCATATTGTTACTAACTTTATTACAGCCCATGCCTACACTCATTTTCTTTTGGTTTCAATATATCGTTCTTCAGTATCGAATCTTAAAATTTTTCAGACAAATGACGTATAATATATATTATACATTCCCTTCTTCGTCTTCGTAGAATGCCGTTATATATTATATATCCTCTACCACTGGTTTATATTGAATTTTTATGTATGAGAGAGTAATAAAACAATAAATTATGTATGCAAATCCCTAAACTGTTGATACGGGTGACTCAATGAAAAACAGATATTTGTCAACAAGTTTACAGAAGTATATAGGAAAACAATTTTAAATTGAGTATGACCACCAGGTATAAAGGTTGGAGCAGAATAGAATACAATAGTTGTGAGGGTTACTAATCCCTAAATAAGGTTGCCAGTGTCGGAGTGATGGAGGTTAACAGGTACTAATGAATTTGCAAGAAATGTAAGATGTTTATTTTATTGGTTATATATAACCAATAAAAGTTTAATAAGTACCTACCTATTTGCAAAATAAAGTTTAATTCTTTAGATAAAATAAAACGTTTTATTTTATCTGAAATGAGTGCATTCCACGAAGTAAGGGTTTCAACAATCAAACATTTAATTCTTTAATTCCAGGAATCTACGACAGTAATTGACTAGATAATTACCTTCTAAACTTATTCCACAGAAAATGTGATAGTGGGTTTTTCCATTTTGTAGGAAGGTCCAAGTGGCGTATTCAAAATTCTTAACAGTTCACTAAAAGTAGGTACTTCAGTTGCAAGGTGCAGTTTATTGTGTATACTAGTGTTATGGAAAATTTGGAAGTGCCGTGTAAACGCCGAAAAATTGGTCCTTTAACAGTTAATGAAAAAACATTAATATTTAATTGTTTTAAATCATTTACAGACAAACGTTTATGTGAAAGTGTTGATGAGACCGTTGAGTTAGTTAGCAGTACACTTGGTGTTGGGAAATCTACGATTTACAGAGTTATTAAAGAAGAGAAATGTGGTAGTTTTCAAATGCCACGTAATGCTCCAGGGAAACCAAAATTTCAAATAGAATATCATTTTAAAGAAGGACTTCGACGGAAAGTGCATGAATTCTTCTTTAGACAAGAATTTCCAACATTGGATAAAGTTCTTGTCTCAGTTCGAGATGATAAGGATTACCCAGAAATGAGTCGAAGTACGTTATGGAAACTTTTAAAAGAAATAGGCTTCCGCTGGAAAAAGAATCCCAGAAAGTCTATTTTATTAGAAAGAAGCGATATTGTCATATGGAGAAGACATTTTCTAAGAACCATAAAGGAAATGAGAAACCAAAAAAGAAAAATATTTTATCTTGATGAAACATGGATCAACGAGGGTCATACACCAAATAAATTTTGGCAGGATGAAACTGTTACAAGTCAAAGGCACGCTTTTGTAAATAACTTATCTACTGGTTTAAACCCACCATCAGGAAAGGGACGCAGGCTGATAATAGTACACATTGGCAGTTCAGACGGTTTTGTTGAAGGTGGTTTATTAACTTTTGAATCAACTCGTACCGGTGACTACCATGAAGACATGAACGCTGATGTCTTTCAAGAATGGTTCGAACAAATGATAGATCTTCTTCCTAAGAACTGTGTAATAGTAATGGATAATGCAAGTTATCACTCCAGACTTATAGAAGGACTGCCCACAACCAAGTGGTTAAAAAAAGACTTGCAGAATTGGCTGAGTTCAAAAAATATTACGTACCATCCCGGATCTATAAGAAAGGAACTTTATTCGTTGTGTGCCCTTCATAAAGAAAAATTTAAAAAATACGAAATTGATGAAATTGCCAAAAATCGTGGAATGACAGTACTTAGATCCCCACCATATCATTGTGAATTAAACCCGATTGAACTGGTATGGGCACAGATAAAGAGTGAAGTTTCAAGAAAAAATACCACTTTTAAAATTCATGATGTTAAACAGTTGTTTTTGGAGGCCGTAAATAATGTAAAACCTGAAAACTGGGAAAAGGCAGTAAATCACACTATTAAAGAAGAGGAAAAAATGTGGAAGCTGGACAATATTACTGATAAAATGATCGAGCCAGTTATTATAAATCTTGGTTCTGAAAGTTCATCTTCTGAATCTGATTTGGATTTGTAACAAGTAGCTGTAAGTTTTATATTAATATTTTTATTCATCTATTTAACATACCTTAGACGGTTTTAAAAACTCTTTTTCTCTTTTGTAATTTTTAAAAATTAAAAAAAATGTGAATTTTTTAAAACCCTTTTTAATGTAGGCCAGTCAGTTCTAATATAGTGTGTGATAAAAGAGGTCACTTTTGTTTACATACACATAACACTTTATAACACTGAAATAATTCATTTATTTTTTACAATTATTCAAAGTAATTTTTCAATTAATCTTGAGCACGCCCATGGAGTGGTCGGAGGTACCAGTTAAAATTATGCTAATTACTCTCTCGTTCATAAAAATAAACTATAATATAAAGAAATATTTATTTAATAATTTTTTTTTACTAAATAAGGAAAAAAGGGAAGGAAAGTAAAAAAACTAACTTACAGTTAATAGATCTGAAACAGTGGAAACGCCATTATGAGGTCCTACTTACACAGGATTGATATAAATTCCAAGAGATTGAAATAGAAAAAATGGATACAAATAATTGAGATAACAACCAGAGAGTTAAGCGGCGCCCTCAAAATATCGAAAAACAGTAAAGCAGCAGAGTAAAGAGTTGGTAAAGTATGGACCAAAAATATTACATGAGATATTGGTTCAACTATTTAACAAATGCTGAAAAAGACAAAATATTCCTGATGATAGGAGTGTTGGATACATCAGTTCAATATTCAAGAAAGGGGATAAACGCAAATGCTTTAATTATAGGAAATAACTGTTGTCAGCTTAGTGGGGAGGTTGTACGATCGAATAGTAAAAGAAAGCATAGATTAAGAATACGAAGACATAGAAGAACAAAAAGAATAGGTAATCAAAAAACGGAAGGCAAGAAATCTATCCACCCACCTATTTGTAGATTTAGAGAAGACATACGATACGGTACCTTTAAAAAAACTGTTTCAAACGACGAAAACATGTGTCAGTAGACAGTATGTGGATGCTACCGCAAATATATACAAAAATGCAAGAAGTGTCGTTATAGAAGGAGACTTTATATCTGAATCATTTCCAATAACAAAAAAGGCTTAAACAAGGATGTTGCCTATCTCCGACCTTATGTACAATTTTATATATATATATATATATATATATATATATATATATTTATATATATATATATATAATATATATATTATATAATATATATATATATATATATATCATGTCATGAAAAATCATGAATGTGTTGCTTGTGTGAGTCCATTTCAAGTAGGTAAAAGAAATAATAAATAAAACTTACTCACAATCAGTTTAATTTAACTATCTAGACGACCACAATATGCTTATACAATTTCGCTTTCTACTGTTTCGCTTTCTACAATATGCAAAGCATCTTCAGGTCTCGATACAATTTACTCTCGATAATTTTTTTTTACCTATACATATGTTATATATATATATATATATATATATATATATATATATATATATATATATATATATATATATA